CTTGCTATGCAAGCATAAGGACCCAAGTTCGGATCCCTATACCCATATAAAAAACTAGGCATGATGGCTTGCACCCATAATCCCAGTGCTAGGGAAGGAGAGATAGGAGGATCTCTGAGGCTCACTAGCCAACCAATCTAGCTGAATCAGTGAGCTCCAGCTTCAGGGAGAGACTCCGTCTCAAAAAATACAGTGGAGACCGATTGAGGAAGGTACCTACTGTCAACTTCTGGCTTATACACACATGCACAAGTCTCCTCCCCACACAAACACTCAAAGACTGTGGTCTGAGTTCAGTGCTGATTTTGTTGTTGTCGTTTGGTAAGTATTTTAGGGCAATTTGGGAACTGTTGCATCCGAGTTTATAAGCACAGTTCCACAGTTCCATTTTAACTTGCTCAGCTATTTTTTTTTTTTTTTGGTATAGAAAAACTTAATATTTTATTAAACATGGAAAAGTGCTGATCTTGCAAGAGAGAAAGAATTTCTCCAGGAACATGTTGAATTAATAAAGAGAGGAGACATTTTGGTGACAATTCAGCCGTCAGTTGTTGCACTTACAGAAATCACAGACTTCCTGATAGTCGCGATGTGTGAGGCTCGAGGCCTGTGCGGAAGAGGGACAGACCAAACCGGGTCACCTCTCCATTCTCACACATCAGGGCAATGACTCTAAATGGATGATCTGTTTAAAACATTAATGCATCTATAATTGTGTGTGTGTGTGTGTGTGTGTGTGTGTGTGTGTGTATGTGTGTGATTTTCAGGATAATTGGTGCCCTTTGTAGAATTTGTGTGCCTCCAAGTCACAGGAGGCATTATATAGGCCGGCCCATGCCTATTTTAGATCACTTACTGAGGCCATTTGTTGTTGTTGTTGCTGTTGGGGAAATAAGCACATTAAGGTATATATATATATATATATATATATATATATATATATATATAATCTCATAGCCAATGTGGTGCTGGGTTTTTAGCATAACTTCAGATTATGAATCTAAGATAATGAGGCTGGGGACTTGGTTATGTCATTTTTGTTTTCTGTAGGGTGGACTGTGCTGGGTACACTCATGGTTATTTGGCTGGTTGGCTGGTTCATTCATTCCTTCCTTCCTTCCCACCCTCCCCCCAGTCCGGGGCTCATGTAGCCCCAGCTAACATCAAGCCCCCTCTGCTGCTGAGGATGACTTGGATCTGATGGTCCCCCCTTTGCCTCCCTAGTGCTGGACTCACTGGTGTGTGCCACGCCACCTGGTGTGTGCATCTCTGAGAAGCTAGGGCACTCCAGTGACCAAGCCTCGTCTACAGTTTTTGTTGCTTTCCTTATCCCTTCCTCCCTCCCTCCCTTCTTTCATTCCACCCTCCCTTCCTTCCTTCATTCTGTCTTTCCATCCTTCCTTTCTTTCCTCCTCTTCCTCCTCCTCCTTGCTGTTGTTATTGTTTGAAGCAGGGTTTCTCTGTGTAACCCAGGCTGACCTGGAACTCACCCTGTAGACCAGGCCTCAAACCCAGAGATCTGCCTGCCTCTGCCTTCTGTGTGCTGGAATTAAAGTTGTGCGCCACCACCCAGCTACACTGCCTTTATTTAAAGAGCATTTCAGGCCAGCAAGATGGCTCAGTGGGTAAAGGCACTTACTTAAAGTGCTGGCGATAGGAGTTCAAGCCCCAGAATCCATGTGGTAGAAGGAGAGAACAGAGTCCAGCAAGTTGTCCTCTGACCTCCACAGGTGCAACACACACACACACACACACACACACACACACACACACACACATAAATATAAACAAAGTCACTTTTGTCCTCTCTATTATTTTGCTGGCCTTCTGTAGCTCTTGGGGAGAGGTTTGTTGAGTGCAACATTGATACAGGAAAGAATTTAACCCTGGTAACAATGAACTGGAAATTTCATCAGGAAGTGATGAAATCCCCCTAACCAAACATGAGGAAAAGTCTTCAACCCCAAATAACCACTTATTAAATAATGAAAAACTACAATCAGTCCCTTGCAAGAGAGAGGCACTTCTGAGAACAAGGGGAGGGGTAAGCAGAGCAATTAAAATAAGATGGCTAACAAGAGACACACTCCGGGTAATACTGGGGTGAAGAGAGAATTCAGGGACTGCAGAGATGGCTCATTGCTAACAGAACGTCTGCTCTTGCAGAGGACAGGAGTTCTGTTTCCTCCACCCACAGTGGGGGGCTCTGGAACTCCAGAGTTACAGTGGAAATTCAAAGGGGAGTGCATGTGACTTCTGGCCTCTTCAGGCACCTGCTCACACACATGCACACACACACACACACACACACACACACACACACACACACACACACACACACAGAGAGACAAATTAAAACAAAATCAATTTTAAAATAAAAGTAGCCCTCTTAGCTGGGGCGGTGTTGGCGCACACCTTTAATCCCAGCACTCGGGAGGCAGAGGCAGGTGGATCTCTGTGAGTTCGAGGCCAGCCTGGGCTGCAGAGTGAGTTCCAAGAAGGTGCCAAAGCTACACAGAGAAACCCTGTCTCAAAAAACAAAAACAAAAACAAAAACAAAAAAAACACAAAACAAAAAAAAAATACCAAGAACAAACAAACCAAAAAGTAGCCCTCTTAGCTTAATTTCCTATTGCTGAGATTAAAGTATTCTAATAAAAGCAACTCAAGATTAGATAGATTAAACTAGAATTTAACCAGCCATGTAACTAAGACCTCCTGGTCAGTAAGATTACCTCACAAAGACCTGGCACATCAGAATATTGGGTAACAAGGAGCTCCTAGAAGCCGATTTCAGTAGCTATGGGAATTTGGCTCTTGTGGGGTTTGGCAGGCTAGGAGACAGGCTCTGCCAAGCTTGATGAATCTTGGCAGATTGTATCGGCTTCTCAGTGTCCTGCTGGGGCGTCCTCACGGGAAGCAATCGAAGGCTGATTCACAAAGGAAAAAAAAAGTAACCCACAGACCCTCTGGGTTGGCCTTTCCTTCCCCTTTCCTACCCTTCTGTTCCCACAATCCAAATCTCTTGAGATGAAAAGAGCAGCAATACGGATGCAGTGGTGTGCCTCAGTTTCATTTTGATGCCTCCACATAGCTGTGGCCCCCCCACCAGCATCTCACTTCAACTAGCATGCCCTCTTCCAGTTCAGACAGGTTTCTTGACCTCCACATTAGCTGGCATTTGCGCTGGACAACCCTTTGTAACTGAGCCCTGTCAGGACTCTCCCCAAGTGTTCAGGGGCACTCCAGCCTTGCCTAGTGGCCCAGCAGCAGCTCACGTTGTGACCAATGTCACCATGTCTCTAACTGCTAAGATTGCAGGCGTGCGCCCCACTGCCTGGCTCCTTCATCGGTTGTTGAAATGCGGACCTTCCTTTCTTGCTCACCTGGGAACATCCAGCTGTTGCTTATTACTCCTGTCTCCTTCTATCTTCTCTAGTCATTTTCAATGCCCCTCCCCGCATTTCCACTCTCTGATATTTTTTCCTTAACCTGTCACTCTGCACTCTAGGAGTAATTTTTTTTTAAGTTGTACTAACTAAACTTTAAAGATAATTTTACATGTGTACGTAATGCATATATCTAACTCTTACCCCCAACCCTTACCTACCTTCTTACCATCCCATCTATTCCCCCACTTCCCCGTGAATCTCTTTTTCATGTTCATGCTTGTTTGTTTTGTTTTGTGACCCACTGGGTTTAACCAGGGACATCTGTGTGAAAGCTTAGATGGTCTGTTGGAAACTGGTAGGCTCAACCACCCCCCTCTCCCAGAATCTATCAATAGGGACCCATGAGTCCCTCCCACTTCCATGATGGTTGACACGGCCATTCCTATGTTGGCCCAGTGCAGTTGGCCACAACTGTGGTGAGTTAATCATTGGATTATAATGGCTGAAGATGGCATTTCCTGGCTGGGTAAAGGAATGATTCTTACTTAAGTCTATTGCTTCAAATTGAGCTGGCTCCTGGAACTGCCATGGCTCAGTGTTTAGCTTGAGACCTCAACCCTATGTTCCCTGTAGTACATTCTAAACTCTCATACCTACACCAGTTCTTCCATAGGCATTCCAACCCATTTACTATCAGACACACCCTTTGGTCTGATTTAGGTACAAAAGATTCTAAGACTTGCATTTTAAATGCTTGACCCCCAGCTATTTTGGGAAAGTGTGGAAAGTCTACAAGGTCAGCCCAGCTGAAGGACAGAGGTCACTTGGGGCGGGTCTTGGGGGATGTTTTCCCTAGCTGCCTCTTGCCTGAGTCCCTTTTTCCCAGTTAGCTCTAAGTAAACAGCTTTCCTCTGCCTTGTGTTCCCACAGACATGGTACCCAGTTAAGTACAGGGGGCTAAGCCACTGCACACTGAATCCTCTGTAACAGCTACCAAAAAACACCCTCCCATAAATGGTTTCTACAGGTAGTTGGTCACAATGATAAGAAAGTAACTAAGGCAACTGTTGTGGTTTGATGAAAAATGTCCTCCATAGGCGCATATGTTTATATGCCTGATCTCCAGTAGGTGGCGCTGTTTAAGGGAGGTTATAGAACCTGTAGGAGGTGCAGCCTTGCTGGGGAAAGTATGTCACTGGTTTTGAGGTTTTAGAGCCTGGTCTCAATTCCTGTCTCTGCTTCGTGTGTGTGTGTGTGTGTGTGTGTGTGTGTGTGTGTGTGTGTGTGTGTAGATGTGACCAGCCAACTTCCTGCTCCTGTATCATGCTTTCTTTTACTATTGCCTTGTCTTTCCCACCATAATAAACTCTATCCCCCTGGAACGGTAAGCCCAAGTAAATCCTTTCCTGCTTCATTTACTTTTGTCAGGGTATTTCTCAAAGCAACAGACAAGGAACTCATACAACATTCTTCTGATGCAACCCATCTCATATGCACTCATGATGGGTTACGTGAGGGGTCACCATCACTTGGAGTAGGCCTCATCATCCTTGCCCACACCACCCCGCAGCTCCAGCTGTACCCAGACCTCTCTGATCCTTGTCTTACCTGCATCTGCTCCCTCCCACATGCACAGCAGCTTCCTTAACCCACACTTCTTAAGCACCTCCTGTTTTGACTCCTGTAGCCCATGCATAGTGGGTCTTCCCCCTCAATTAATCCTTCCTGGAAACAAGATGGCAGACATAGAAAGAAACAGAAAGATGGTAAGAGCCAGAGGTCAAGAAGGAAGGACCTGAGGGAAACTATCTTCTGGAGAGCTGAACTCACAAACTCACAACTGCGTGGTTGCTCATGCAAGATCTGCACAAGATCAAGCCAGTCAATGTTTTAGCATGGAGAAGGGAGGGGCTTAGGAACCATCATCCCTAACTGAGGGTCTAAGGGCAGCTGATGTTTGCGAGGAGAGGGCATGTCTATCTTCCTTAAGGTAGGGGTCCTAATAGGTCAACTATGCTCCCCAACTATACCCCATGCCATGAGCATATGGCAGCATGAATTTAACTTGATGGATTTTTTTTTTTTCTTTTAATGTCCATGAAGTTGGGAGGAAGTGGAGATTGGGAGATGGAAGTAGATCTGAAAAGACAAACAAAGAAAGAATTTTCCCTGTTATAAAATTTCTGTAGCAACGTTTCAGCTCATAGTCATTGTGATGAAGTCATTGTGTTCCATTTCATAAATTCAAAGTTCACTCTTCGTCTGATGCTGTGTTGCCCTGTTCACGGAGTTGTGGTTTGGGGACATAACTGTGCTCTCCAGTAGGATAGAATTGCTTCAAGAACAAACAGCCAGTCCCTAGGGATCCTTAGTGCTGGACACTACACTTCTAAGATAGGAAGCATGTGGTCACTGTTGGTATGAATGAATGAAACCCAGAAGATTCACCTTGACTCTTTATAAAATGGGCACATGACATGCTAAGGGATGGGAGTGGCTGGGTGTGTCTCCTTGTTCTGTGACTTTTCCTGCAGAGACATGAACAAGTATCTGTTTGCCCCAGACAGGGCACAAATGACTGAGAAAAAAAAAAAAAAAGATTCCATCCAAGTCTAGCAGATTTATTAGGGTTACTTACAGAACCATGGATATCTAACAGACAGCTGAGTCTATGAAGTCTCCCATACATCTTGGGTAATGGCATGGCTAAGGACTTATGAAAGCAGCATCCCTGGAGTCTAGCTCCCTCTATGACTTGTGGGCAGCTCAGTCACTCATACAGTATTCCTTCCCTTTGTGAATCTTGTCCCACTACCTTCCTGATACCGGAATGCTCCAGTGTAAGGAGCCTCCTTTTCAGAGGGAAGTCTCAATCCACAGCAAGTGGCTACACTCTAGATGCCTATGGAAGAGCTGCCTCAGCCCCCATCCCTTCCTTTCTGGGGCACTTCTGGCTGCACAATCTCTTCGTGTTTTTCTCTGACTTCCTGATTGTCATATAGATCCAACTGGGTTAATGATGAGGTTTTCAAAGTGGGCAGCTGACCACAATGGGTAAGGGCTTTGTAGGTCACCTGGGAATGAGGAGTTGTGACTTCCATCAAAGCAGAGAGAACTTGAGGTTCCTGCTGAAATGGTGTTGGGTTGTTGGTGAGGATCTGGAATCCATCCTGGTTTCTTCTGGACCCTTGAACAAACTTCTTTTTCACCACTCAACATTTTAAAACCACGAGTATATGATGTGAAATAAATCGAGTCATCTCCTGCTCCTGTTGGCCAGGACAGTCACCTTCCTGTTACCATGGAGATGGATTTGTTTCTTTTGTAATTCCGTTCTGAGTTTTTCAGCTGTAGGGCAACTTCTGCAAAGCTCTGGCTAATCTCTCCCCGAAGAGGTGGAAGGATGAAAATAGAATCATAGAGACAGCCAGCCCGGGTGTGTGATCATCCAAAAAACGTTAGCTGAGCCCCTTTCTCCAGTGGAGTGGATCATGGGTGTTTGTTTTGTTTAGACTTTATGTGCTAAGATCAGCGTTTTCTGGAATGTTTTCATTCTATCCCAAATGGAACTCACTTTGTAAGAGAAAAACCCTTTTGTTTTTTAAAGGGCAACTGTCCCCACCATGCACCAAACACCCAGAGACCAGCTGGTTCAAACAGGGAATCTAGTGACTTCTCAGTGTGAGTGTCCACTGCTTCTCATCCAAGAATCTGTGGCTCTTGTCCAGTGTTTTTTTGTTTTTTTAAATTCCCATTAGTTGTTGTCATTTGGTATGCATTTTAGTTTTATCCTAATGCTGTGATTAAAACGCTCTGGCCAAAGAGCAACTTAGGGGAAGAAAGGATTTATTTGGCTTCTGCTTCCAAGTCACAGTCCATCATCGAGGGAAAAAGACGGGAATTCAAGCTTGAAGCTGAAGTCAGGGATGCCTGCTACTCCTCACAGCCATCATCTCTAACCAGGGAACTCATTCACAGCCAAGGACACACAACAGAAGCCATGGAGGATGCTGCTGGCCGCACACTTGCTAGCTCATGTTCAGCCTGCTTCCTTATATAGCCCAGGACCACTTAATTAAGGATGTTGCTACCCATAGTGGGCTGGATCCTCCTACATCAACTAACAAGACAAATCCTTCACAGACATGACAATAGCCAATCTGATCTAGACAGTTCTTCAACAGAGGCATTTCCTCTCAGACGAATCTAGGCTGTTTCAAGTTGATAAGGCTAACTCAGATGGTAGGGTAAGTCATCAGCCATGTCCAGACTTTGTGGAGGGCTCATACTTTCCAAGATTGTCAAGAGTTAAATGTGGATATTTCCCTGCACTTTGTATCCCAGAGTCAATAGGGAGAAGAAGAAGAAAAAAGAGATTTACAATTTAGAGATTTAAAGAGCTCTTGAGTTATAAGACCCTTAAAGACTGGCTCTCACTCCTACCCACACACTTTGGATGAACAAGGCTTCGATCACTTGTTTGTAATACATCGATACTTTAGATGACCCTGTCTTATGTCATATACTTTTCTAGACACTGAGGATACAACTGTTAAGCATCAACTAAGTGTCTGGTGGAATGTTTGCCTGGCATGCGTGAAGCCCTGGGTTCAATTCCCAGCAAAAGGTAAACTAGGTGTGGTGGTGCACACCTGTAATCCCAGCACTTGGGAGATAAAGGCAGAAGGATCAGGAGTTTAAGTTACTCCATAGTGAGCTCAAAGACATCCTGGGATATATGAGGTCCAGCTGTAAGAAACTGAAAGAGAAAAGGAGGGAAGGAGAAGCCAAGGGGAAGAATGCTAACAGATGTGTGTGTGAGTCTTGGATAATTCCTGAATTTAAAGGACAGCTGGGGACACACAGCCACAGACAGGCAGAGCAAAGTGCACTTGAGAGTAATGAGGAAGTAATCATGTTCCTCCCGAGCCGGAATACAAGCTGGCAGAGGGAATAGAATTGACCCAAGGAGAATGCTCTAGAATGTAGAATTAGCACCATGTCAGGCTAATTTTTCCCCCAAGTCTCACCTTAACATTGATGAGCACAATTTAAGGATCAAACTAATCAACCTTGAGCAATTGTGGGGAAATGTAAGAATCTTGAATCCCCGCTTTCCTCAGATCTAGCTCGTGATGCATAGATGTTTGTAGCCAAATACATGGTGTTCCTTGGTCAAATTCTACTTCTACATTCCTCTTAGCAGAATGGCATGGAGTTCTGACTCAGGTCTCATCCCTAGGGGACTATAGAAATCAGAGTGGTACCCAGAGTACCACAGAGGTTGCCATGGTTATTGTCTTGCCCTTTGCTGCTGCTGCTGCTATGTTGCCTCTTTGGCATCCCTTGGACCCTGCTGGTCCTCAGTGTATCTTTTCCATTTGTTCTCTGAGCCTGAGAACTGATCACCCTGGTTATTCCCCTGCTACTTCTGGGAAAATAGCCAAGGGAGGGACCAGGTTATTACAACATTCAGAAACCTCACAAAGCTCTGTGTACTCCTTCAGCAGAGGAAACTAGTGGCTCCCACCTTTCATCCCAGCACCCAAGAGACAGAAGCAGGTACACCTCTGGGAGTTTGAAGCCAGCCTGGTCTCTATAGTGAGTTCTGGTAGAGCCAAGGCTATGTAGAGAGACTGTTTCAAAAACTAACAAACAAAACATTTTTATTGCATTTATTCATTCAGGCATTCACGGAAATAGCACACATGTCACAGACCACATGTGGAGGTCACGTGCCAACTTATAAGAACTGGTTGTTGTCTTCCATTAAGTAGACCCAGGGATCAAATTCAGATCATCAGGCTTTGTGACGGGTGCCATCTCACTACCCTTCCATTGTTTTGTGTGTGTGTTCAAGTTCATGTGGAGGCCAGAGGACAACCTCAGATGTCATTCCTTAGGGGCTGGCCAGAGTGTTGTTGTTGTTGTTCATTTGTTTGTTTGTTGAGACAGGGTCTCTCACTGGCCTGCAGTTTGCAAAGTAGCCCAGGATGTCTGGCCAGCAAACTTGAGGCATCTGCCTGTCTTGGCCTCCCTAGCACTGGGATTACAAACAAGTGCCATCATGCTTGGCATCTTTGTTTTTAACATGGGTTTTAAGGATCAAACTGAGGTGCCGTGCCTCATCCGATGAACTGTCTTCCCAGCCCCTACCTTTTTACTCCTGGAAAGCTCCTCTCACCCTCTCTAAACAAGGTCCTGCCTCTCATACACCTTACAGGAGAATTTGGGTAGGTTATCCTATGAGCGCCCCACCATCACATTTGACGTACTAAAACTAGTCAGCATGGCCCCAAGACATGGTGTCCCTTACTCTGAGCACAGAGATAACATTATTCTAATTGTGCAAGTTTTTCCAATTGTGATTCGTTTAAATATCTTATGTTATTACATAATTCTGAGACTGAACAAATACAGTTTTTAAATAAAGCAACTCTATTTTTGTCTTTTCTTACCCTTTAATTTCCTTTGATCTCTTTTAGCAAATGATTGCATGGCTCAGATCTTTCGGGTCACTCTTAGGTAATGAAAAGGTCCTTTGTGGGCCAGCAAGATGGCTGCCAAGGATCCACATGATAGAGGAAGAGAACCTACTTCCAAAAGTTGTCATGTGACCTCAACACGAGTGGCCTGGCACTCAAATGCCTGCTGGCATTTATGCGCAGTATATGTCCACAATAAAGAGAAGGAAGTTCTTTGTCAGGCTGGGGAGATGGCTCAGTTGATCAAGTGCTTGCCACACAAGCTTGAGAACCTGGGTCTGATCTCTAGCATGATGTGGGAACAAAAGCCAGACATGGTGGTGCGCACCTGTGATCCCGGCATGGGGGAGGGGGAGACAGGGAGTGGGGCACTGGGACTCACCTGGCCCATAGCCCAGCAGAACTGGCAAGCCCCACATTCCAGTGAGAAACTCTCACTCAATAAACAAGGTAGTTGGGGCTAGAGAGATGGCTCAGCGGTTAAGAGCACTGGCTGCTCTTCCAGAGGTCCTGAGTTCAATTCCCAGCATCCATATGGTGGCCCACAACCATCTGTAATGAGATCTGGTGCTCCCTTCTGGCCTGCAGGGATACACACAGACAGAACACTGTAATCCATCAATCGTAAAAAATATAAACAAGGTAGTTGGCTCCTGAGGAATTATACCAAGGTTGATCTCTGGCCTACACACACACACACACACACACACACACACACACACACAGAAATGACATATGAACATGTACATATATACATATTGCACACAAGCATACACTTGAAGGTACTTAACACACAAAACACATAAATGAATACACACACACATGAACACACACCAGCACACACATGAACACACACCAGCACACACACTCTTTGCTATGATCACTTGAAGTGTGTCATGAGCAAAACTGCACGTTGAACAGGCGCTCACTGCCACCAGCATCCCCTCCCTTCCCCAGTTAGTTTGAAAGGGCTTGCTTGACCAGTTTCTCTTTCCTCCTCAGTTCTCCTGCCCTCCCTGAAGCCCCCACACCTGTGGGTTCCATATTACCCATCCCAGGGACAGGGACAGGAAAGGTGGTCATCATTCTTAGTCACTGGACCGCTGTGAGGATCCAGTGTCCCAGCTCTCTGCACTTGGCAGATGGTTAAGGTCACCTCTTTCTCACCTGGGTATTTCCACGCCTTCAGTGACACTCGCTGCCCTTCATTCGCTCAGGACTGCTTAACAGCAGCCTCCTTCATGCAGTAAAAAGCCACCTTCATCCCAGCCAGTCACCTCCCTCTACTGCCACCTCTAGAGATTTGGTGCCACCCACAGCTTCCCACTGAGGTTCGTGGTTTCTTCTCAGTGATGCTCTGGAGAGTCCCACCTGAGCGGTCTCACTGGTTCATGGAAAATTCACCTTGTCCTACTATAATGATTTCATGCTGAAATGTGTTCTTCTGGGAGCTGGGGCTCAGACAGTAGAGCTCCTGCCGAGCATGTGTGAGGCCCTGGGTTCGATCCCTGGTATGGTGGGGCATGGTGGCACACACCTGTAATCCCATCGCCTGGATCAGAAGCTCAAGGTCATCCTCAGCTGCATAGCAAGTTGTAGGAAAACATGAGCTATAGAGATTACACACACACACACACACACACCACACACACACACACACACACACACACACACACACACACACACTTTTTAAGTGTGTTCTATTTTGGTTAAAGAATTATGAAGTCACCGTAGTTCTTTCTCACAATTTCTGGGAGTGAAGAGCACCCAACACATTCCTTTCTCTTTTATGGTGAACACTTAGCAACCAGGCAGAAGTGAAGTCTCAGCAGGCTCTGCCTCTGGGCTGCAGTCCCACAAGACCTTTCTCAGAGTTTGAGAGGAGGCCCAGGTGTTCTACTTATTATAAAGTTTCTTTCCAATAGGCTCCAGTGCTAAACCTCTCTGGAAACACCCTCATAGCCACACTCAGAGGTGTATCTCCCAGGGAGCTCCATAGCCTGTGAAATTGAAATGTGAAATCCAAAACCAAGATTAACGTC